ATAACACAAACATCTCAAGGGGACATATCTGGGGCAAAACACATGCTTTAATCTCGTCATTTTCAAAAAGGAAATCTGTTTTACATATGACATTACATCATGCCTATTTCAAGCCTTTTCAAAAAGGAACTGACCATAACCAATTAATGATGCCAATGTGCTTTGGCATTATTAGATCTAAGAAAACTTTTGATGTAAAACATATAACTGTGAAAGAACAAAACCTTCCTTGAATGAACGTGCAAGTACTAGTACATGCATTTCAATACACTTCTTTCTTTACCAAAGCATTCTTCCAGACTTGCAAGCTCCTGCAGAATGCTGGAAATTCAGAAATTACAGACTGCCTTTACGCAGTGTCTTACTTCATTCCTATGGAATTCCTAAATGAGTTTTATGCTGCTTCAAGTTAAGTGCAATGAAAAAACAACAACACAATTTTGGTCTTCTTTTTTCATCTTAAAATTGCTCTGGATCCAACAGCTACATTTTGCGAAGTATTTATTACACATAATGTCCTCATCTAAAGTGGACCATGATTGCTTTAGTGCCCTCCAGTTGTCATGGCATTATGTCAGCGGTTAGTAAACAATGCATTCCAAGTGGAGACAGGATGGTCTTCAAGTTCTTTCATTTCACAGTCAGAACACGGCAATAACAACAACACACGTCTTTCCCTGTACTATAAACAGTGGTTGCTAGCTGTATATAACAATAATTGCCACTTTGAATTGAGGTTTGGGCAAAGATGGGCATGATTTCCCTGTCATCAACACTGAAGTTGAAGTACCTCTAAGGAAGTAAGCTGAGAAGAATGAGACAAAATCAAACTGTCAGCAAAGACAGCAAAAAGCTGGAGAACATATTTTTCACTGATTTATGCTCAAATTAAATAATTAACATTCTTTTGGTATGACGCCCTTCAAAACCTTATTACATAACACACTACAGAACAAACTGTTTTATTTTAGCCAGAATCAATCAGATATAAATCCTATTAACAGACACATGCAAACATGAGTTGGTTGAAAAGCTCTTTGAGCAATAACAAATAATGGAACAAGGAGCCACTTCTCAGTAAACACAGCCTTTGTTAGGACGCATGCTGGCCAATGAAGCACCACAAAACAGACAATACATTTAGACTGATTCAGGTAGATTCTATGCATGCTACGTATTCTGAGTTTTTGCTAGTGTGAATGGAAAACTCATTTAAAAATGTTAAAGATTGTGTGCAATATTTTTCTATAAGGGGAAGAGAAGCTTTTTAATACACAAAATTGAAAATGTGAATCACCCGTTATCAACGGAAGTGTCCCTAATGGGACAGAAAAAGGATAGAAAGAAGATAAATAAGGAGAGGGACAGCGTGAAATTCCAATATTTAGTGTGTAAACCCTGCACTGAGTTATTATACCAATTAATGATATACTTCCTGCCACAACCCTCATTAGGAAGAATGGACTGACGATGGATTGCCGGAGGGATGTGTGTCTACCACTCCTACACTGACTGTTAACATATTGCAGTATTTTCTGTAGATCAAGGCTTCCAAAGTGATGATTAAGTAGAGATACAAGCTTCAAACAAAATTGATATATAATATGCTCAGTTTGCTTTATAGAATGCATTTATATCATTCTGAATGAATTAAATTACAAATGCATTCCAGAATAAATTGCTCATACAAGCTTGTTTTTCATAACCCACACTATCTGACTTCAGATTTCAGTACCATTCTTCCAGTAAACACAAATGCAATAAAATATATTTTCTCACTTTCCTGAAGGATCCATAGGAGACCGTTGTCTCAGGTGAAGAGTTGTCTTATTTACATTTTTAGAACAGTCAAAACCCTGGCACTTTAAAATGTAAAATTTGTCCTATTAAAAAAGGAAACTTTTAATAAATGCACAAGCATCTTTTGTGTGACAATACTGACTAAAAGTAAAGCATACAGTAAATAAATCCACAAAACATTTTCAATTCTTAGAATAACTACAATAGCAAAAAAAACAACTAAATCATTATTTTAAAAAGGCAATCAATTTGTAACATTCACCAGCAATTAAAGTAATTTTCTCCTTAAGTAATCAAAAGATACACTTCTTTACTTATCCATTATAGCTCATAGTGTTATCACATTTACTGCATGTTGTGCAGGCCTCAAAGAATTTTTTGGAGCAATATCCTGGTAGACATGTATAAACAGTGTGATTGGCACTGGCATTTTCTAAATCTGTCTCATGTTTCTAAAACTTTCCTCCCACAAGGACTAAAAACCACAATGCGATAGAACAACAAATTACATCAGCCGCCATTGTTAAGATAAGAACCATATTAGACATCCCATTACACTCACTCCATCAATAAAAAGCATTCAGAATTATTCCCCAAAATAAATAGAAATGGAGTATTTGGTAACTTTTAAAATTTGACACACTTCTTCATTTTTCACACTGAAATCTGATGAATAGAAACTGATTGCTTCTAACAGCTGCCACAATTCATCAGTTTCATCAGTTGATAATCGATTCACCTTTTTTTTCCACAGCAAGTGATAAGAAGACAAATCAAAAACCAAAAACAGACTATTTTTTTTAAGTTAAAATTCCAGCTGTGTTTCTCTTACAAGTCTCACTTTATTCAAAAAGGATACTGCTGCAAGACACAAGCTGGACAAACATACTTGTACAGTCCTGTTTGAATCAGGTTTCTGTATTGTTCCTAGCTGAAGGGGATTCGTTTTGTAGTCAGGTTTGGAACAATAAGAAAATAAGAGTATGGCACAGGACCAGTTACAAATAAATGGAGGCCATTCTGCCCATATAGCCCAACTGGTAGTTGGTAGCTAGCGGATCCAAGGATGTCACCCAAACTTTAATGAAATGGGAAAATGAGAACTCTGTACGCTACTATACGCTACTCTGTACTTGTAGCAGGTGATACTGTATGTACTTTAAGCTCTGGAGGGGGGCTTAGATTCATAGGATCCATTAAGTGACACCTAGAAGTTTAATAAGGAGTTTAAATAAATGACATCATGTAGACTTGACAAAATCTTAAACCACATCTGATATTTGTCACCAGTAACAGTGTACAGAAATCATAACACAGTCCTTTAAAGCAAATGCGCCGAATAAACGGTGAGGCCAGCAGCCATATCACTCTGCAACTCACCACTGGCAGCCCACTGAAGCTCAGCAGGTGTGAGCCTGGTCAGTACCTGGATGGGAGACTCCTGGGAAAGCTAAGGTTGCTGCTGGAAGAGGTGTTAGTGGGGCCAGCAGGGGGCGCTCACCCTGCAGTCTGTGTGAGTCCTAATGCCCCAGTATAGTGACGGGGACCGAGGTCCTGACTCTGTGGTCATTAAAAATCCCAGGGCGTTTCTCGAAAAAAGTAGGGGTGTAACCCCGGCATCCTGGCCAAATTTCCCATTGGCCCTTACCAATCATGGCCTCCTAATAATCCCCTGGTTTCATTACTCTGAAATGAACTGGTTTCATTACTCTGTTCTCCTCCCGCCTGAGAGCTGGTGTGTGGTGAGCGCTCTGGCGCACTATGGCTGCTGTCGCATCATCCAGGTGGGGCTGCACACTGGTGGTGGTGGAGGGGATCCCCATTACCTGTAAAGCGCTTTGAGTGGAGTGTCCAGAAAAGCACTATATAACTGTAAGCAATTATTATTATTATTATTATTATTAAAGGAGAGCAGTAGCTGTGTGTTAAGAATGCGAGTGAAGTGAAGGTAATGATGAGGAAGAGCACCAGAGCATCTTTCATTTTTTTCATTTTCATTCACCCTCCGACTGCCACATCTGGATAACACTCCATTCCTCATCTGTAGTCTCCATTTACACTGGAAACTCCCATAGAAACAGTAGGGCTCCGGAGCCAGCTGGAGGTCAGGCGCTTCAATAACACTTGAGGAAACCAACTAGGCAAAGAAGTCACTGTACCCAGTGAGTTTCCTACACCACCACCTCCACCAAGCAGGAAAGTGGCACAGACAGAAATAAAACACGAAATCTCTAGACTGTTAAACCAAATTTTAAATGCAGGTGTTTTTTGGCTTTCGACCCACACAGTAGCCCTTAGTGAAAGCCCTTTAAAGTTCTTCAGATGCCCCCTCGGAAGATGAAAGCGACTTCATAAATGTCATTCTATCACAAGAAGGGTAAGCAATTGTTTCAAGGACTAAAAGTGAGGGGAAGGGAACATCAACACAAATGTCTGGTGTCATCATACCTCAATTAATGAATGCAATAAGAGCAAACAAACACAATTTTTAAGGCTGTTAGTCTTTAGATGGCTTCCAGGGACACCTCCTTTTAAATCCTGTGTCTTTACCAAGAACAGATGGTTCATGTCATACCATTTATATAAAAGAGCTTCCGGGCACTTTTTAAGCATGAGGTTGAAATGACTTGATGTGACAAGAAGAAGCAGATCACTCATCATTTTATATCTTTCAGATAAAAAAAAGGTTTATGTTTTGTGGTTTTAAGGTTGTGATTATTTGATGAAAAAGACCCATTTCTGCGTCCTTTGAGACCGAGGGAACATATATTTGGAGAATGAATTCTGTCAAACCACAGCTTTATGTGTAAGAACAGCTAAGAACTCATTTCAAAACCTTAAATCATGCGGGAAACACTTTAAAGCTGCAGTGAGTTTTAAAAAAAGATTTTTAAAAAATTCAGAGATAATTCTGAAGATTATAAGAACATGACAAGCACTTTCCTGTCTTTTATTTTAAAAGTAAGGGGCATGTATTATTTTGCTTGCCACATGACAAAAAGATATAACTGATCTGGCAGGTCTGTACAGAGGAGCTTTGAATGTTTGTGTATCTGAGGCACGCATATTCATGAGACACCCTGCACAAAAACAGGATAAATAGGACATGATTCCAAATATCAGTGAACACAAAGAACATTTTATCCACTCTCTCTCTTATTAAATGGAGCAACAGGGAATAATGACATACTGTACTGTACCTTCTGAAACTTCTCTTTCAAAATTCCATGGGAGATAACTTACCTAAAAGAAGAAAAAAAGAAGTGAACTTGAGGTGTCATTAAACGCAACTGACCACATTTATTATCTTTAGATTTTAACAGATTTTCTTATTCAGAATGTTAGTTGCCCAGTCCTTATATAAAGAGGAATGTCTGACTTGTACATTTATCTTCTTTACAAAGCAAATTATTGTGATTTTGAAATGACTTCTTCAGTTTCCCTATTTACTAGTTTAGCATGTTCCTAAGTACAGCCTTTTAAAAGCTGTATTAAACAATCATGAAGTAATACATCTATGCAGGTTCATTAAAAATCACCACAGCAAAACAGTCATCAGGTATCTAAAAAGGAACTGAACACATTTTTAAGTCGTTGCTTTTTACCATCTAGTATTAATCTACAATAAGATGATTTGTGAAGTTGCATAATGTTTTGCCTGTTGAATAATACTACAAGTAGACTGTTGTAATGTTAAAGGGTATCTACTGCTATCTACCCCAAACACTTACCTGGTAGAAAAGCTAGGGAGTGATATAATTTTAAAAATAATTTACAAGTCTGCAAACATATCTATTAAGCATTAACAGCTGATAGATAAATGCATGTAATTCAGCTATTTCATTATTGGTTTCAGCTATTAAATTCTCTCTTTCAGCTATTTATTTAATTCATAGAAACAATGCATAAGCTGTGTTAAAAGAAACACAAATAGAAGAAATGAAATCACAATGAATTCAAAAGTACATTTTCTTTACCAGAATATAAGGCGTGATAGATATATATATATATTCTTTTCTTTTACCAGTGGAACACAAGCATCAAGTTATCAGAATTGGCAGTAGGTAGTGAGTGTTTAGGGCTTAGGTAAGCATGATCAATCTACGCAGAAGGCACAAATAATACCATGGTAGCACTTCACTGCATGACTCACAGATTACACACTGAAGCCAACATCCTGGATTGAGATAAGCCACAGGTAAACTGTACATGCGTGCACTGCCGTCAGATTCCCTCTGTTCTAGCAGTATCAATCATGTCCACAGAACGCTGATGTAAGCCTGTAGGAATGTCTGATTTAACAAGAGAGCTGGGGGCAGCTCTCTATACCGAAACAGCCTGCAGGCAGGAAGACACCTGCATCTTCCCCTTTTAACCTTTTCTTTAATGGTCTCTCTCTGACTAGTAAAAAGAGAATACTTTACGACAACTGTCAGAAAGTCCAAAGCAATGAAATACATGAACTAATACAACTTTCTATTAAACTAATACTGTGTGCACGTGGTCCATATAAAAACAGTGAACCATGTACTGACGTGAACAGACAATATGAAGTGCAGACCAGCATATAACAAACTGGGTTCTTACTCTTAAGTAATATAAATTTAAATAACATCAATGAAATAAGTGCTCTCATCGGAAACAAAGGCAAGCAGAATAGGTATAATTATAGAAGAATAAAAAATGAAGTATAATATGTTTTCTCCACATATGAAATCAAGAAAAAACTTTTAAATGCTACCCCTACTAAGGCACATGACAATAGCAACTTCGCTAGTGACTGGGGTGCCCAAATTAAGGACGTAAAACATAACGTATACAAGGCTATACTCAGCTTTTTAAATGCCTCCTTTCAAATATGTTTTGATAGTACTTGAAAACCTTTTTTTCATTTGATAGATTTCTTTTCCTCTTTTGTTCTCTGAGGAAACAAGAATGAAGTCTCCACAAACCTCACCTTTGAAAAATTCTAGAACAGTGCCCAGCGTTGACTATTTTGGAGAGAACTGTAGAATTATCTTCAGCCCACACTCAGTGTTATCATCTTTCACACTCGACGGCTTGGTCAGCCCAATCACAATTTGGGAGGAACGGCACTCTGACATGTAGGGAGTGTGCATAACAAGCCAAGAGACAAGAGACTGACACTCCTGCAGTAGATACTTGCTTTCAACAGCTGTCAGGCGTTTGGGCAGTTAAAACTGAGCTACTCCTTCAGAAGTCACAATCTTCTTTCCTTAAAACAAACAAGTGCCAAGCCACAATGCCACTATCACACAAGCAGCTGCAGACGGAAGGAGCACAATTGGCACGGTGATTAAGCAACAGGATCCCACTGAATCCAACAGCAGATAATGGTCTATAGCTACAGTACTGTATGTCAGCCTTGATGGACATGGCTATCATAGTGTTTTTATTTAAAAGGTCAACATTACAAATGTCAGTGCTTCGGTACAAATTCAGCAGTTTAATCTGGGTTAGGATACCAGCTGCTGCAGTGAAGACATTTCAGATGAAATTTCAGAACGTGGAGATGCATCTGCAAAGGATGTTTTCACATCCTTAGGCAATACGGGCTTGCTGCTGGACATCCATCCATTTTCTAACCACTTTCGATCCAATACAGGGCTGTAGGGGGCCTGGAGCCTATCCCGGGACACAATATGGAAAAAATTCAAGATATGGCCCTTAATCACACTCTGATGTCATGATCGAGTTCGGTCTGATCACGTACTGGTTCATTTTAGAATAGCAATCATTTAATTTGAGTTACGAGTGAGGATAAGAAATCAAAGAACAGCTTTGCAATTTTTGTTACTGAATGAATACTACATATCTTTTGGGGAGCAATTTTGATAAACCACAGAAAAGCATGCAAAGATTGTGGATTCTATAATAAAGGCCATTAAAGTATTACTTAAACAGGGAAAAAAACACTGACATGAAGCTGCAGACTGAAACGTATGGAGCTATGAAAGAGTAGCCAGGTGGAGTTTGGAAATGTGGGACTCTTTGGAGCAGGGTAACCCTTCACATCGCATACAAACTGAGAAATCGGCAAAGAACAGTGGAATTTCACAAGTTTCCCGGGTTCACTGAAGAGCTATCCAGAACACATGAGCTAATGCAGACAAACTGGTGCCTGTTTGTGCTTCTCTGTTATTATCTATCAGAAAATGAGGGTTCAATTTCTATAAATAAAAGCTGTGTGGCTTTTCATCTTGGCTCTGAAACACAAGTGGGTAGGGGCGTGGGGTGGTCAAGTAAGAATGCCTAGCTTGATTAATTTTTTTGCATTTTAAAACAAATGATTTCTCTCAAAAATGTAAACTACCATGTATGCTATTTCATAGACAGAAAAATGACAGTTTAATTTTTCAACATGTTTTTAAGCCATTTTGTGCAGCGCAGATTCTACACAAAGAATTTGAGGATGTATATGAATAATGAGTTACACCAAAAAGAAGCAATTGGTTTCATAGCCTTTGAATGGTGGGGTATCTTGTACAACCATAGTAGAATTAATTATGCATTTGAAAGCCATTTATTTCTGGGAAAACCAAATATTTTTTCAGTCTTTAAATTGGATGTTTGGAACACTACTTAACTCAGTAAGCCAAACCACGCAGATCAGTTCTTTGTGAAACAAAACTGGAACAGTAGAAAGAGAGATGACAGAAGTGCTTTAAAATGTGGGAGGATGCACTGCAGACTCTTCATCTTCAAAGCTGCAGAACTTTATTTATAAATTGCTCTTAGTATACGTGTACATTAAAACCCGACAAATCTCCTAAATACTTTCAAAACCTTGTATTCCAATAGTCATTATAAAACACTGACTTCATTCTCATTCCAGATGGTATCAACCAAGCTGTGAAACAAAGTTCCACATGATCTCGAAGCATAAACTAAAATACGAAAAAAAAAATAAAGCAGCTTTTTAAGTCCTAATAAAGCTCTTGTACTGTAAACAGCTGGATGAGTTTTTATTCACAAATAGTTGCTATCCAGTATGGCCAGAACACTATTATTCAAACCAGCTGACAAATAAACAATTACTGTTTTTTTTTA